CATAAAAATAGAACAGGGGGACCAGCAGTTAGCATAATGGCTGTGTCACTGGACTCCCATGTAGTTGACCGCGGTTCGAGTCCCGGACCCGGTGGCTTAAACTCACACTGGGTGCGTGTGCGTGCATGCCCAAGATCCCGAGAGAAGAATGGAGGAGAAGGGATTGCAGCGTGGCCATCCCTCCGGGGGGTGATTTCTTGCTTTCTGTCTCTCTGTCTCTCTCTGTCTGTCTGGCGAGCGCACGCGCCCTATAGCAAAAAAAGAAAAAAAAATAGAACGGGAACCCCTTTTCTTGTATGAATAAGAAAAGGATTCCATATAGTAAATGGAAAAACAAGCTGCAGAACAATAGGTATGTTATGCTACCATTTATGTAAAAGAGAAGAAAAATTTATAAATGCAAATTTATGTAAGTTGGGAAAGTCATGATGTATTTTCTGGTTTTCTATGCAAAAATGAGTCACAACTTTCCTGACAACCCAATATATAAAATATCACTGGAAGACTAATTAATACTACTTAGGAAATCATATTTGTTGCCTCTTTGAAAAGGAATTAAGTGGTGGGGGATCTGGGAAGACAGTTTTTACTGTATAAGCTTTTATATTTTTTGGATTTTGAAGCATATGATTATATTATCTGTTTGACTATTAAGTTTAAAAACTAAATAAAATGCATTGATTTTCTCAGCAACATAAATGTGATCCTCTTTCAAAGTGAAGGTCTATAGTACTATCTTGGAGGGTGTAAAGGAGAGAGTGTCTCAGTTGTAACACCACAATTGTCTCTCAGAAAAGTTCCCTCTCTTTTGGCTCCACATATTTTGTCCACATCTACTCCTTCATTCTACCTATTTTACAAAATAATCATTTGGGTCCCAAATTTCAACCTGTTCCCACATGGCACTTCCTCTTTACCTCTCCACAGAAACGGATAACTTCACAATTGTTTTGTGACAGCCATAACCCCACTCTAAACCTCTGGTGATAGATAACTTTCCCAAAAAAGTGAAGACTTGGGGTGGAAATGTCAATCAAGCACACTGAAAAGAAAGATCTTTCCTAATGCGGTAAAATTACAGCATTAAACTATAAACATATAAAATATAAAAGTAAGCCTGTCATCCCAGCTTCAAAATGCCTTACTATCTGTTTTTGTCTAGAATTCTGTCTCTTTAGCACTCTAGATGGAGAAATAAAGATAATATCTTTTTCAATATCTTTGAGTAAACACAGAGGGGGAAAAAGTAGCTTTTCATTATAGCAAAGACCATGACAATGGCAGAAGGAACAAAAAGTCAAATATTTATCTTTCTAATATTGAACTAGACCAACTAGTTGAAGAAGTACACATTTTTTAGTGATTAATTTCCAGGATTATATTTAGGTTAAAGCAACAATATTCCAAGCTATGTTCCTTCTTGACTATAAGTCCTGAATTAGTTATACATGCTTTAAGTTGTTTGCATTTTTGTATTTTTCTTGAAAATATACAGTTGATAATCATAAGATTCAAACTGAGGTAAAATATTGTCAGTATTTTTAAGCACCATTTGGCCAAAAACATTGCACATGCACACATACACACATGCGCGTTGGTGAGTCACAGATAGTAACACGTTATTTTGAGACTTCCCTGCCCACCATAGTACCACCACAATCTGGTCCATCTTCAAAATGGTGACTGTTGAAGCAAGGGTCATGCTACTCTCCCAGGCAAGGTGTAGTAATGAAAAAGTAGTACATCCCTACCAACATCCTATTGTCAGAGTTCACATGGGAAACATGGAAGTAAACATTTAAATAAAAGCCAATGCAAAAACACATGCTTTCATACTCTTAAATAAGTCTTTAAAATTATTTATTTGTTCAATGAATTTAATTGAGGTGGGAACTGATGCAGTTATTTGAAAAACTGTCTATGTAAAGATTTTAATGCTATAGTGTAAAGTTTTAATGAAAAAGGCAGGTGGTGATGATCAGAAAAGAATATAATGGAACATTTTTGGGAGCAAAAAAATGTGCAATGATTTCAAGTAGTAGCCAATCATGAAAAGTTCACTATTAATATGTTTAGCTGCTGTGTAGTCAAAAATTGCCCTACATATTTTTGTAACAAGAGTTCTGAATCAACAGAATATAATACATTTATTTCTCTTTGCTTTTTCTATCCCATTTACCTAGAAATTTGGCATTTAATGGGGTTCTATTTCTTTGTGATGTAATAATTTTTACCTATGTATTGTCAATAAACAAAGGCAAAATATGCTTGGTATTATAATTCAATTAATTATCATATTCTCTATATACATAGTTTTAATTCTGAGTTGTTCTTTATAGTTGTTCTATATAAGTGAGCACCAAACCTCACTATTAAAGGTATACATAATTTAAAGCAAAATTTAAAAATTTATAATATTAATAAATGTATTAGAAGTGAACATGGCCTATAATTTATAGTTAATTTGACTTTCCTGCAGTCATTCAGTTAAACAGTCCAAATTTTTAATAGGTACTTTTAAAATTATATCTCATGAATTAAAACATCCCTTATATAAGGAATCAAGTGGTATTAAAATATGAGT